TAACGTACTCCACTAGAAAGAATTAAAGAAAAGGTGACCTGAGATATAAATATATTTGTGATGTGCACTGTCACGTGCCTTAAATGGGATTTTCTGATGAAAACTGTCCAAGAAGGAAGCTCTCTTTCTGTGGTTGAGTTCTTGGACAGAGGCTTACCAAGAGGTGAAACCTGAGACACAAAGTATGCACAGAGGCTGAAATCCTTTCTACCACCTTATCAGACAAATGAAGGGGAAAGGTCTCTGAAGTGCCTCTGGTGAAATTACATGAGGCACAGCTTTTTGTTTCAGTTTCTACTACATCTCCTATAAGCACATATAAATGTATTGTCTGTTGCAACTGCTGTGCTATGAATAAATGCTTGTGTTTGTGTCCAGTCTTAGTAATTTTTAAGGTAAAGAGATAACAAGAAGACGTTGCTCATCTCAGATTGTTGTGAGTTTGCATAAAACACAGTTCAGAGATTCTTTAGCAAGTGCTCAGAACACCCTTTTTAAAAAAAAAAAAAAGAGAAAGGGGGGGGGGGGAAGATAGCAGAATGAATACCCTGTCTTAGTTACACAGGCCAGGTGGATAGGGCCAGGGAGCAGAAATGTCTTCCTGTGATTACTAATGACATCAGAATTTCTCGGGTATACAGTAAGGTGTCAAGGTATTCACTTGGACGTCAAGGGTCTCAAGACGAATTTAACTTTTACAAGTCTTTATAGCCTCTCATTCCTGCCACATATAATCAAGTTGTTGCTTGAGATATATTTTTCACATCATTATTGTGACCATTTCTGCTTTGTTCAAGTGAATCTAATTCAATTGTCAAATACAAGTAGTGTATAAAAAAACTGTTTCAGTGCAATAGTACTTCTTGTGATATGTACCACTTCCAAAATGGAATTGATGAATATTATGGAGAAAATAATCTGTTCCACATCTTTCTTAAAATAATTTTTCTTCTTAGAGAGGCTCACAGTCAAACAGAGAAGCGAAGAAGAGATAAAATGAATAATTTGATAGAGGAATTGTCAGCAATGATACCTCAGTGCAATCCCATGCCACGAAAGCTAGACAAGCTTACAGTGTTACGGATGGCTGTGCAACACTTAAAATCTTTAAAAGGTGGGTTTTAGGAAGCTAATCCTGAAAGTCCTTGTTCTATCAGGAGTTCTACTGTGTATCTTCTTTGATGTTAAATAAATCAAAGGTCATTTATTTCACATTTCCTTGCTGAATTCAGTTCCAAGTCTATTCTTCACTTAAATTTACGTGTTTGTAGCTTTCAGAACTTCATTTCTTCTTTTTGCTTAGTATAGCAGGAAAAAAGCCACCCTTCCGTGTCTGGTATTTCCTGTTTGCTAAGGGTATGCCTTGCAATTGAGTCACTCCTTGAGTCTTTTTAAAAATTACAATGATAAAGCAAGACTGTTTTTCATACTTTTCCAACCCCAAAATTAAATGCAGGTTCTGTGATCTCTCCACTTTTCATCATACTTTCTGCACCGGTAATACCTGTGGTGCTGTACCAATGCCAACAGCTGTACTGCTAATAGAGAAGCCAATGGTCTTCATACTCCTGTTTGTTATTCCCACATTTGTGATTCCATCAACCCTTTGTCTCCTTATTGGAATTTCATGTTTATCTGTTGACTTCAAAATTTACAATATCATGGAAAAAGACCATTTGAAAAAAAACCAAACAAAACAACCAAAAAAATCCCCCAAACGCCTAAATTTTGGGAAGGCTTTAATTTGAAGACCAAGTCATTTATAAAGTATCAAATACTTCTGATGAGTTGTTTGTCCACTGTGAGATTAGGGAAAAAAGTCTCCTCAACAATGGGAAATTATGCTAATGCTTACCTAAAGAAACTGATGCAAGTAGTTGCACTGGTAGGGAGCACAGAGAACTCACTCTGTTAAGAATGATTAAGTCTTTTACACTGTAGCTTCATAAAACCAAAACCAGTTGATTAAAACTAAAGAAAAAATTATGTTTGGACATGATCATCTTTCAAACGTATTTTTTTGCCTGCAAGAACAGTAATTAAAAGGAATGTTGCAAGACCAAATATACTTTAACAGAATGGTTGATGACTTTAATTACAATAAAGTCTTAAATACCATGAAATGTTAGAGAGTACCAAGAAAAAGAGTTATCAAAAATTTAAATCCTTAGTCAGCTAGCAAAAGTAAAGTAATCGTGGATCTCAGTGAATGGTTTAATGTTGGGATCAAACCAGGATATATTCTTTCCTCTTCTTTTGCTATTGCTAGATTTTGGGATTTCTTTTTTTTTTTTCCTCCCCTAAAAAAATTATATTCAAATACAAGTTGCATATCACATGGTCTATCAGCAGCACACATTTCAGGGTTTTTTTGGCAGTACTGTTTCAGAATAATAATTTGGTCAGCTGTAAGCAAAGATCAAAGACTATCTGCATTGCAAAAAAAATTGGTTATGAATAAACATATCTAATAAGAACCCCATTAGTCTTAAGTCACAGAAGTGTAGAAAATTAATTATGCTACTAACTTGACAGTAATAGAATAATTTACGTTGGAAGGGCTTTCCATTGGCTCAAGCAGGCTGAGAATTTTGCATAAAGAAATAACGTGACAAATTAGCAGTACAGTAATTACTCTTGCAGTTTAAACAAGTATCTACAAGTAATCTTCAGCTTAAATACTTGTATTTTAACAATATGATGTGAAAACTGGACTCCATCTGGTACAGTTATTTTACATATCTTCAAAACAACTACTTTGAGAAAATACAAGATACTGTGTGGAATTATAGTGAATGCTGAAATTTGCTAGAAAGCTCAACTGCTATTTACCTCAAAAAAATCTAGAAAAAGTTGTGGAAATGCTTGTAATGGCTAAAAATTATTTTAGAGTACTTGCCGCGGGTGCTAGAATTGTAAATGTAGTGAGTCTGTCTCACTAAATGTAGTAAGATATTCAATTTAACTACAATAGAGTCATTTTTTGATTGTTAGATACATAGTACTAATGAAGCATTAGTCATGCCAAAGACAATTGATAACATTGGAATTTTTCAGATTCAGCAAATGTTAAGTATTCTGAAATAGGTCTACGAAGTGTTTCTAGAAAACTCAGTTCTCATAATACCATTTCTCTAGCAGTACATTAAAGATATTTGAACAGAAGTTTCCCTGTTTTATGCTAAGTAAAGGGCAAGAAAAAACTGTTTGTGTGCCTGTATTCATTGCCAGCGTATGTTTATGAGGTTTTTTAATATTTTTAGAGTTCTTAAATATTTTTTTTTTATTCAGCTGTTGTGGTTGCAAAGAAAATTTATAAAATACAAACCAAATTATACCTCTGTTAAAAGTAAAATTTAAAATGTAACTTTTGACATTATGTCTACAAATAATCTATTTTCCAGGTTCTACTAGCTCCTATACAGAAGTCAGGTATAAACCTTCATTTTTAAAGGATGATGAGCTCCGACAGTTAATCCTTAGGGTAAGTGGAAGGAAACTGTCAGTTAAATGATGTCCTTATTAAAGCTTGCCATTAACTTGAGTTTTTAGTTGGAGAGTGCTTTTTTTCCCCCTCATCTTTTTCTTCAAGCAAGCGCCTCGATGTATTTGGTGAGTGCTGGTTTATAACTCTGTACACTATACAGGCTGTTCCTTTATGAAAGGGTACAGAAGATGATTTGTGAGCATGGCAGACAGCAGCCCTTGAAGGGATGATAAATCTGCATACAATCTGCGTATTTAATACATAATTTTTTTTATGTTGATATTGAAGTCTGCATGGAAGTATAGAGAATGCTTTTCATTATGCATAAATATACTTGCAGTTGTTTACTCTTCTTTATTAAAATTTTTAAAGATGTACTTTGAAAAAGATGCAGAAATAATACCTGAAAGAAAATCTTTATTCTTGTTTTTGCGCTTTGTCATGTACCCACGCCCCTTTACCCTTTCTCATTTGCAACTATTTTCTTTTTCCTTTGCTCTAAAACCAGACTTTGTCAAGATCTGTTAAGATGACTCCCAAGTTACACTGTTTTCCAGCTGGCTGCCTCTTTGCCCAAATCTGTGTTTAAAAAACCTTAGCTGTCTGTAGTTGAAGGTCTGATTTGGTCCTTGCCATCTTAATTGGTTTTTGGTGTGACTTATCACTTATTTAATTAAAAAAAATCAGGTTTATAAGTGTGCTTCCTTGTAGTCATCAATATTCATTGCATATTTTAATTGTATGTTTTTAAAGACAATATCTTTATATTTTCAGGCTGCAGATGGATTCCTATTTGTGGTTGGATGCAACAGAGGAAAAATTCTGTTTGTCTCAGAATCAGTTTGCAAAATACTTAATTATGATCAGGTGGTTATAATCAAGTTTCTTGGTTTGTTTTTACATTGTGTTTTCTTAGAAATTTTTCAACTCTTACATTTTATTGTATATTACTAAAAAAACAGTCCTTGTGTATCATTTCTTGGAATTTCTTTGATTTAACCTCCTTCAGTGTAAGGCTGAACATCCTGGAACAAAATATTTGCAAGTACGGTCAGTGTTCCTGACCTGAGTAACAGCACCAGATTTCAGTTGATCATCCTTAAGAAAACTGCTAGTCTGAGAGGAAGAGATAATTTGAAGATATCCTAATTTCTATCTCCAAGAGATTTTCTTTTAAATGGTAAAGTGATTTTGGGGGTGTTTTTTAGGCCAAGGAAAAATAGTAGCTCAGCAGTGGAAGTTAGTTTAAGCTTTCCTTGGTAATGTCTTTATGCTCAGATACACTACATATCACCTCATCTGTAATAATTATACTCTTAACTTGAAGGAAACTGAGATAGTGTGAGTTAGCTTAGCCTGTAGAATTAAAAGAAATAGGAAAAATGTAAGTACCTTCCATTAGTTGACATTCAACATCATGGACAAATTACGACAAATAATCAAGGCATGATAACTTGTTCATGTATCTATGACTTCTGTTCCAAAAACAGAGGCTAAACCAGTTAATGCTTCCATCTGTCAACTTCTATAACTTTGAAACCATTTGTGCTATGTTCATTTTCTTCATAAGCGGAAGGGTAACCAATCTGGACTCCATTTTATAGAATTATTTTTTTTAGATTTTTTTTTTTAAAAACCCAAACTATATCTTTTTAAATTAAAGTGAAATGAATCATCTTATGGGAACAAGCATAAATGGGATTTTTAAAAACAAACAAACAAACAAAAAACCTTCTACACTGAATTTACTCAGGGACTAAAAAGTACCTTTTGGAGTCTCTCACATCAGACATACCTCATTCCAGATCCATAAAATCTTTGCTATTGTAGCCAAAGAGGTTCAGAGAACATGACTGACTTAACCCATGAATTTATTCACTTACTGGGGAGTCATTTTAGGTTATGAATCCCATCCTGCAGCCTAATCTGTTACACCTACATATTTTGACAATGCTGCTATTAACCTTTCTCAGTGGCACTCAGTTAATCCTGCTTTCTTAGAAGCTTTTCATTAAACCCATTTCTGACTCTGGCTTATTGAAAGAGAGTTCCCCTTCATGTATACAGTGATCATATAGCAAGTGGCTCGGGTCCAAAATGATTTGCAATTTGAATTGCTTGTCAACCCATTGATTTGACCTGGTGAAGGTAAGCAATCAAAAAAAAAAAAAAAAAATCCCAGAAAACAAAGTAGCCCACTTCTGTGAGAATTCCTTCCTGTTTCAAAAGCAAGTAGTACTGCCTGCAGTAGTGCAGCAGACCAGTTACATTTGATCAGCAGAGTCAGCAGGTCGAATGGATCCCAGCTAGAGAGATTCCTGTAAATATCCCCTACTAAGGGTGCTGAAGTGAGCTGACCCCTGCTTCCAGGCAGCTCTTGGCTCAGTGGTGCTATTTTGTCTAACCAAATTAGAGCTCAGTCATTAGGTGGCATTAATCTTTCTTCCTATTTCCCTACTTTCCCCCTGTGATAATCTGTAAGTGGAGTTATTTTGTGTGTAAACTTCTTTGGCTAGGATCAGAAATCATTAATGTACATAAATAAAACACTTGTTTTTACAGAACTGTGTTTTAATATCCAACTAAATCTGCTATTTTTGCAAATGAGAAGAACAGATTATGTTTTTTCTCACCTGTTTTTATAAAAATAATATTAAACAATGGCAAATTAAATGTGGATCAAAGTATTGATGTTTAGAGTAACTGTGGTTTTGGTTTTTTTAATGGTGTAGAAAGTTGTTTTTCTGAGATAAATAATATGTATGGGTCCTGTTCTAAAACAATGTGATTCTTACATCTTTTGGGTTTTGTTGTGTTTTGTTTTGTTTTTTAAATAGGCCAGTTTAATTGGACAAAGTTTGTTTGATTACTTGCATCCAAAAGATGTTGCAAAAGTTAAGGAACAACTTTCTTCTTCGGATATCTCTCCTAGGGAGAAGCTTGTGGATGGGAAAAGTAAGTATATTTGAATGTGCTCAGATATTTTAGAGACGTTACTAAATTTAGTTATTGTGCAGGGCATATTCATATGTTCGTATGTGCATGGATGTACAAACTGGAGGTATAATTTCTGTGAACCAAACGTATTTCGGTGCTTATCTGCAGCTTAGAGTGCACTTACAGTTTAAAAGCTAGCCCAGAAAAGAATTTATTTTAGATAATAAGAATGACTGAAATTTGCATTGTTAAACATTTATCAAGATGTGGTCTGACATTCTTCCTACCAGACATACTACTTTTTTTTCTTGTATTTGATAGGTCTTGTCAATACAAAAGACCTGATGTAGTCGAACATGGGATAAAATACTTCAATATCAAGAATCACTGTCTTCTCTGAAAATGCTAAGTGTCAATCCTAATTTAACCAAATCTTATTTTGTTTACAGTTATTTCTAATACGGAAAACGTTATGTACTGTGCAGCTAATCGCTATTCTATAGCTGGCTTTTATAAGCATCTTTGCAGTTCTTCCATGTACTAAATAGAAGTTGAAAGTTTATAAAGCATATTTATTAAAATAACATTCAAAATATCAAGAAGGGTTTAAAAATAGTTTGGTAGTTCTTTTTAATTTCGGAATCTGTGTGACAGCCGTGTTTTCTTTACCCTGTTAAAGTTATTAGACTTTTTTCATTTTTAATTGTAAGGACAAAATTTAGGTAACTAAAGAGTAAGGAGAATGTACTGGAAGCTAAAATGAAGAAAAGGCCTTGTATTCTGAAGTTTTATTGTTGGATTTTGTTTTTTTAACTACTTTACTAAATTTTTGTAAGCTGGCTTGCAAGTACACACAGATTTTCAAGCTGGACCAGCTCGACTGAATTCTGGTGCTCGACGTTCCTTCTTCTGTCGGATAAAATGTAGTAGGACCACAGTCAAAGAAGAAAAGGAGTGCTTGCCCAACCCAAAGAAGAAAGGTATTAAAACAGTGTTGATGAAGTGGGGCCTTTCTGTCTTGAAACTTGGCATATTTAAGTTCCAAATCAGTATTGTGACCCTTGTGGTTATCATTGACTTCACAAAGTCGCTGTAGAGAAGTGTAAATATGTATGGAGACACGTTTTGAAAAACAGTCTTACTGTACTCTTTCTCCTCCCTGTTCCAACCTGGAAAAGAGAGAGGGAGGAACCTGAGTTAGAGTGGCTGTTTATGAGCGCATCGTCTATTGTAGTCAAATTTTAGAAGTCTCAGGGAAATTTTTGAAAGCACTGGAGCGGATCAGAAGAATGAAACTAAATAATATATGTCTTGAAGGTAACTGTGAATAAGGCCTGCAAATCTGCTGTTTGGAAGGAAAAAAAGCAAGTAAACCAACTTTTTTTTCCTGATTTACTTTTTGTGTTGTGTGTACTTATAAAGTATGAATTTTCCTCTTTTTTGCTTTTAATAGTAAAATTAATTTATCAGTGTAATTACATTAATTTTTCCAATAATATTAATTCAGTTCATATTTTGGTATGCCTGTACAGCAATATACTCTTTTCAAGTTTTCAGTAAATGGATCTTTTTAAAATGTAATTTGCAGCTTTTATTTATACCTTAGTATTGATTTTTGCAAAAGTGTGCTGAAATTGTTTGGCCCTGAAAAAAATAATCCTGCTTTTGTTTTTCAATGTAACTTGTTATTGTTGAGATATACCATACAATAGTAAATTTTAAAATAGATCTGTCATTGAAAGTGAATAGAATTCAGTCTCCCTTCGTGTGCCAACTAACTTGGTGAGATAAAAATGTAACTTGTATCAATGTTTCTTGGGAAAGCAGTATTGAAGGAAGATGCCTGGACAATCTGAGAAACTGTGACAAAGTCACAGTAGGATAACTCAGGTTTTTATTTTACAGAGTTGTTATATGTTTTCTGTAGTTGACAGGGTTAATGCAGTCAAATCTATGGAAAGCATAATTTGTTCAGAATACAGATATCGAAATACTTTTTTTGAAAGATATTTTTTGCAATTTTTTGAAAGATAGTTACTTCAGGACACATTGGCATCTCTATGCCTTGATGCATATGAGGGTGTTTGCATGTTATATAGGCAGCAAAGAGTCTTATCAGCCATAGGAATAAATGACAGTGTATGCTGTAATTTAAGACTTCTGAAATACTTGTGTTCCCACAAAATTGAGGAATTCAGAAGCCTAAGATAAATAGAAAATAAGCTAGGTTGTTCTGAGTTGTTCTCGCAGCTGATTCTTTTAGCAATTGCAGTAAGATGTTAAGATCATTGTGTTCACCAAAGGTAAACTGACCTACAGAGTGCCTCTCTAGTTTATTTTAATTTACAATCCATATGAAACTGTATAAAGAGAAAGTGATCTGTGGGTTACCAGACTGTTGGTTTACTTTTTTTTCCTGTGAGACTGTGTTTGAACTGCCAACACCAATAACTTGTCTTCCTAAATCTCACATAGGGTTAGAAGTGCTCTCTCCAGGTAAGCCAAAATGAAGTAGTACAAAATTAATTTAAAAATACTCTGTAAAATTATCTATAGCCTTGTACAGTTGTTGTAGGTATGTATGAAATATAGTTGCTGGTCTTCGGGTGAACGGAATAAAAAAAAAAATAATTCAGTTTACTTTTTGAACCATAACTGCTTCTTATTTCATTTCTTTTTATTAGATCACAGAAAATACTGTACCATTCACTGTACTGGGTATTTGAAGAATTGGCCTCCTAATGAGGTGGGAGTAGAAGAGGAAAATGATGTAGAAAAGGACAGTAGTAACTTTAACTGTCTTGTTGCAATTGGGAGGTTACACCCTTATGTTGTTCCACAAAAGAGTGGAGAGATAAAAGTCAAAGCAACAGAATTTGTTACACGATTTGCCATGGATGGAAAATTTGTTTATGTAGATCAGCGGTAAGCGATTTCTTCTTTAATGAAGAGAAAATGAAAATTATACCACTAGTTAAATTTTCTAATAGTTTCTATCTGAACTATAATTTCTCAAGAAGGATAGAATGTCTAGGTACTGTACACAGGAAGCAGTTCATTCTGAATCTATGTGTACTTGGACTTTGTTTTTTTTGTCAAACATAAAACAATGTATAAATGTATATTGTTCTATGGGAAAAGATGAACTAGCGAGATTAAAATTTGGTATAAAATGCACTGATGTACTTATTTATTCATAAAGAAAAATCTCAAGTTAGAGTTTCATAGATATGCATATGACTTAAGTAATAAACACTTAACCAAAAACTATTACTTCTTAAACTCTTACTATTTGGAACACATATGTTATATCTAAATGAGCTACCAAATTATTTCATTAGAAGTGAAAGCAAAGTTCCTATTCTCTGAACTTTCTAAAGACTGAGTTACCACTTTGCATTTTGAATTTCATTATTGTCACTGGAAGCTTTTTATTGCTTTCAGGCATCTTGCCATTCATCTAAAAGTGTCACTTAAACATATTCCTTAAAGTGGCAGAGCAAAACTTAACTACTAAATTTTTTGAATGACATGACCAGTACCCTGATTGGCTAATAGGAACAACTGATGATCATGAATATTTTGTGTGTTCATGTGTTTGCATGTTTAAATGCTGTTATTTTGTCTTTGAATTGTCATTCATTCCAAATGGATAATTTGCAGTGAATAATATTTCCTGTTGTTTTAGAGCTATCTTAACGTTATATCTTTTTCCCAAACATGAACACAGGCATCTATTTCTTTAGATACTAATTTTCTGCTCTATCTAATACTGAAGAAAACAAGCTTTGCAATTGTGTGAATCCGCTGTAGTTCATGTTTTTATTTCTAACAGTGCAACAGCAATTTTAGGGTATCTGCCACAAGAGCTTCTAGGAACTTCTTGTTACGAGTACTGCCATCAAGATGATCACAATCATCTAGCTGAAAAACATAAAGAAGGTACAAAATAACTAATCCTCCAAGACTTATATATAAACTTCATGTAACTGCTGTGTGAAAAAAAGTACAAACGAAAAAATCAGAAGCTGAGAATTAATGAAATTAAACAATCTTAGCATTGTCCTTTTCTACATCTGCATTAAGACATGCCCACATAAACCTCGTAATAAAAGCAAGGAGAAACTTCTGTTGTCTTGTATCTTGGTGCAGTGCTTTAATCGCAAGGGAATAATCTTAATGCATGCTTGAGTTCTTTATAAGAATGAGGAAGGAGTCCTGAAGAGCAAATGTGCCTAATCATGTAATTAAAGACACCGATTATGAAAGTTCACCAAGTCACTAGTCTCCCTACTAGTGGTTTACAGAAACTTGGGCTTTAGTTTAAGATTAATAACATTGCTGAAACTGTAGTTTGATTTTAGCAGGGGTCCTGTCCCGTCAGTTGTTCTGGCATTTAACTGTATTTCTGGCCATCAAAAACATTTGTGTTTTATGATGCTATAAAACAGATTATTTTTTAAAACTTTTATCTTTCGAAGTATAAATACGGTGATTACAACTTTCCTTTCTTATCTAGTGTTGCAGAATAAAGAAAAAGTATTTACAAATTCCTACAAATTTAGAGCAAAAGATGGGACTTTTGTTACTTTAAAGAGTCAGTGGTTTAGTTTCATGAATCCGTGGACCAAAGAACTGGAGTACATTGTATCAAACAACACAGTGGTATTGTAAGTAATTCAATATTTGAATTCCCCTGTTATTTTTTTGTCTTAATTACAGTTAGCATTAACCGAAAGCAACCTGTTTAAGAAGCAGAACAAGGCTAGAAAATACCAGCACTGCACAAAAAGTGGTTGAGTAACCTGGAAGAACACGTTTTTGCATTTACCGTTTGTTTTTATTTCAGGCTTGAGTTGTGGATTTAACTCTGAAAACTGCTATTTCCAGCAGAAAAAATGAAGTGGAAGAGTTTCTTATTAAAGGAATGATCTTTTAAGAAAAGTAGATATGAATAAATGGAAATGTGAAGTTAGTTCTACTTTTCCTTCTGAGCTTTATAAGACTTCATGTGTCATGACCTAATTTTAAGTATTACCCTACCTACCATGTGTCAGAATGTGGAGAAGCATAATTGAGAGATCATAGAAATGCAAGGCAGGATAAAAAGATAGTCTCCAAATTCATTGCAAAGGAGGAGCCTGTGAAACAGTAAATGTGTTTGTTTAATTCTTCGTTCTTTATTTTTAATTCTTTTTCATTCTCAGTGCCTTGCAACGGAGCTATAATTTGGGTTGTTTCAATGATGCTGAGGATCTTTGCCAGTGACTGGGTTTTTGAGAAGGGACTTTATTTCTATTAAACCAAATTGTCAAGGGGGTCTTTTGCCCATTCAGTAGCTGGTTCATGTCTTAAGTCAAATCACCCACCTATTTTACCCATGTCCTTTTTCCTCAGTAAGACAGAGAAGAGCAGTTAAGACAGTCTATGCTGCCCAACAGCCAAAGGCCACTTTTGCCTGCCCTGAAGGTCTGGGCATCTGCAGCTCTCTAGCAGAGGAAAGAAAGGCAGCAGCTGCACACTGACCTGTCCTTGTAGCTGTTGTTTCCTAGGAGAGGGACCGGTTAACCAGAGTAGAAATGGTAGCCTTGTTCTCTTGTCATGGAACACAAACAACTATACTGGCCTTTCTTCTTTATTTGGAGAATAAGTAGAAATTAGTATTTCAACCTTCAGAAACAACAGTACAAAGCATTGAACATTGAAACGTGAGGAATCTCTCTTTTTTCTTTTTACTAGTTTGAGGATGTTAGTTTTTACTCTGAGTAAAGACTTATTGAAATCAAACGTAAATATGCTGGGGTTTGCCTTTCAAAAATGTGCTGATTTTTTTTTCTTTGGTATTTATTTATTTATTTATTTATTTATTTAAATCTCAGAGGTCATAACGAGTCAGCTGAAGAACAGGTCCCCCACGGTTCCCAGCCTGCAGAAGGCAAGTGTTGCTTCTTACAATTATCATAGGTGCATCTCCTGATCAGTCATTACAATTTAGATTTATTCAATTCAGATTTTTTTTTTTATTCTAGGTTGTTGTGCAAGGAAGGATTAATATTTTTTTAAGCTACTTCTGGTGACAATTTCTAGTTACTCACAGCGTCCTAATTTGTATAATTCACATAACTGTGGTCAGAAGAGCTTATGGCATATCTTTTCCTTCTAGCAGCTTCTACTGTAGCTAGGATTTTGGTTGATAGGATATTAGGCTTCTGTCACAGACCCTCTTCATATTTTGCCTGGTTTTCTGAAGAAATGCAATTGTTTTATCTGAGTTTACCTATAGAATATAGGGTTACACTGATATTGATATACATTTTGTTAATATTTTTCTGCTATGCATAGATTCTGATTTCTACATGCTGTTTTGTCATCTTGCTATAAGGCTTTTTATTTTTGCTCTTGAAATTGTTCTTTTTAATAACTGATTTCAGTTTGTGAAAAATCCAAGGCTGTTTCTCATGTGTTTTGAATTGTCTGTGAGAGACTGGAGGTGGTAATGATTAGAGCCAATTTCATTACTGGACATCAGCAATTTTCACAAATATATTATTCACTTATCTTTACATTTCAAATGAGACAACACCTTCCCCCACGAGGGTGAAAATTAAAATAATTGAATTTCTGAAAATAAGATATATAGAACAAAAACTGCTTTAAAATGAATCCTTGAGGGGATTGTTCCTTGTTCTGTAATGAAACTGCTTCAAACTTAAGGTTTTATTTTGTTTTTTTAACTGTAGATGCTGTAAAACAGTCTTTAGTAAGTGTACCTGGAATGTCCTCTGGAACAGTTCTTGGTGCTGGAAGTATAGGAACCGAAATTGCAAATGAAATACTAGAATTGCAAAGGTAATAAATGCTTAACATCATACATTAAGCTTTTAAGTAAACATAGAGAAGAGTTATACATGATTATGTGGGCTTTGTTCAAGTTTCATTTTTAATTGTGTTACATGTATAAAATATAATGCAGTGGCATTGAGATACCAATTATAACCTAATGTTAGTCTCATGCATGGCAGAACACATCACTGGTGTTGATAAATAGTTTTATTCTGGGCATGCAATTTCCTTTGTTTATTAATGCATTATTATTTACCTATGACTTCAAAAGTGTCACTGTGATGCAGCTCCTTAACGTAATATTGAAATAGGTAGATAAAACATTCAGGAATGGAAAATCAGTTGTCTGTGAGTAGTGTTTATATTTTTCTGATAGTGTCACTCTGCTAGGAAAACTTTCCTTGAAACAGTCCCCAGTGGAGCACTTTCATAGCCCGTCTTGTCCCTTTCCTGATTATCCTGAACATAGACTAAAGCGATAGCACAATTCCTTCCCAGTACCCAGCCATAGATTAAAAAAACCCCTCACTGTGTCATTCCAAGTGGGAATCCATACAAGATTCAAATGGTTAATTAAAGATTGACTGTTTTAAAACTAGTTTTAGCAGGTACACAGTGTAGCCAAGGAATTTGAAAGAAACAAACAAAATTTTAATGTGAAGATATCCTTACATATTTTTTGTGTTGTGCACCCACAGTGGCGCCTGATTTGCTTATAGAGGGAGAGGTTATTACTCTTTGCCAGTTCACACTGTATTAGCATGTGTTGTCTAAGAACATTTTTATAAAGTCTCTGAGCCAGCTAATTCCAGGACTTTGGGATGCACATGCAAAGAAAAAGTCTGTTTTCAGTCACAACTCTTTCAGGAATTAAGGCTTCATCAGAAGGTTCAAACACTTTTGTTAAAGTCAAATTTAGGATAATGGTACTATCATCTTATCAGCACAGGACAAGTTATCAGTTATTTTTGATAATGAAGCCGTGCCTCAGATTTTAGATCTTATACTTCTGGTTCCAGGTAAAGGAATGCCAAAATTTTTTTATGTCTGCAGAGCAGTGTGTTCTGAGGTCCCATGTAGTTCATTCCACTGGCACTTTTGCCACTGGACCTGAAAGAGTATTAATGTTAAATCTTCCAAGAAGAAGTGCTCCAATTTTGGCAGCAGAGGTAGAGGTATAAGGAATAGTTTCATATCATAGAATGTACTGAGTTGGAAGGGACTCAGGATCATCAAGTCCGACTGGCTCTACATTTGGCAACCTAAAAGTTAAACCATATATCTAAGAGTGTTGCCCAAACATTTCTTGACCACTGACAGGCTTGAGGTTATGACCACTTCCCTGGGGAGCTTGTTCCAGTGCTTGACCATCCTCTCAGTGAAGATCTTTTTCTTAATATCTTCCCCTGATACAGCTTTAAACAGTTACCCATGTCCTATAACTGGACACCAGAGAGACGACATCAGCACTTCCTTCTCTGTTGTCCCTCATAAGGAAGATGTAGACAGCAATGATGTTACCTGTCATTCTCCTCTAAGCTGAAGAAACCTGGTATATTCAGCTGTTCCTCATAAGTTATGGCCTTCTAGTCCTTTCACCATTTTTCTTGCCCTCATTTGGACAAATTCTTGTATTTTTATATCTGTCTTACATTGTGGAGCTCAAAACCGCACACAGGACTCGAGGTGAGGCCGCACCAATGCTGTGTCTAGAGTAGGACAATCGCCTCTTTTCACGAGTTAGCTATACTGTGCTTAATGCACCCCAGGATAGCATTATTCCTCTTGGCCACCAGGGCACATCGTTGACTTACATTGAGCTTACCATCAACCAAACCCCCTCCGATCTCTTTTTGCAGGGCTGGACTCCAGCCTTTTGTCCTCCAATCTATACGTACATTGATGTGCCATACCATAGTCAGCTTCTGCTGTTTCAACAGTAGTCTGACTCATCACCTTGTCTGTGAGGATGTTATGCAAAACGATGTGAAAAGCTTTACTAAAGTCAAGGTAAATAACATCCAATGCTATCTCCTTATCCACCAAGCTAGCCACCTCCTTGCAGAAGACTGTCAGGTTGGTTAAGTGTGAATTTCCCCTTTGTAAATCCATGCTGAAGTCTAGGATTACTTCTCTTCACAATGTGGTTGTCTTCTCAGCTGTCTCTTCATCAGAAGGCAGTATTTAATTTTCTGAAACAGTAAAAACCATGGTCAGAACCAAAGAGTGTGATGAGTGACAGTGGTAGATGTTTCTTACTCTGTTTCCAGTGTTTTGGAATCGCCAACGATGAAGTCACATCCCTTTACTAGAATAGTCAAATTGCACAGGGAATCATTCATTTTCAATGAAAGATAAGAAAAGAATAAACATTTTAGTTGTGATGGTATGAAAAGATTGCTACTTAAAAAATCAATATTAAAATCCATCCTACAGCATATTGGCAGGTTGCTGGGATTATCCAGCAAGGAGGGGGAAAAGCACGAGCAACAAAAAAAGGATTGATATCCTCAACAATGAAGATGGGATGTTACATTTTGGTAGTACCATTGTTAATGTCCTCTCATCAGTACCACCTGTAGAGGGAAGGAGAGTCACTTTTTATTCTGTCTTTCTGAGGACTGAAGTAAGTTGCCAAAAGTTCTCATCTTTGATGGTTAATATCCAGGCATGACCCAAGAGCTTCATTTGACTCTTTAGATGATTCAGTCAGCATAATGTGATATTCTTGATTGAGATCACCTGACCTTTGCTGAAAATGGTCATCCATGTGAGCATACATGTCATCAGCTTAAGGAAACCAGTTTATTAAGTAGATGAATAATAAACTTGCCGGATGATGAAAGAATGAATGCATTCCTGGGAAAGTTTTCTTCAAAGCTACCCCTTGAAAGTTCTGGTATTTGCGTTTCTAAGAACCACAAGCAATGCTCTTTCTCTTCATATTGCTACAGACACAAGAGTTTCAGGAGCAGTATCTTCCTAAGCAACAGCGGGAAATTTGCAAGCGTTGTATGAAGATCAAACCAAACCATTACTCTTCTTCTGTGACAGTTCAG